GGGGGGGGGGGGGTGAAACCACAGGAGCTGGGGGGTAGGGTGGAGCCCGACTTCGCAGGGAAGGGGACGTGTTGGAGGTGATGGACAGAAACAATCCAAGCTCATCCAAGGGCGCATTTCCGAGAGAATTCGCTCTCAGAAGATCCTCCCTCAGTTACCCTGAGGTCACACAGGACGTCCTCCGGGCCTGCCGCTCCGTTTCCCGGGAAGTGCTGTGTCGTCGGGGAGAGGCCCGGCTCCACGGCGGGAGATGCCCCCACTTTCCAGCTGCGAGATGCGGGGGAGGGCTCTCTCCCACCCTGAGCCCCGGCTTTTCCCTCCCTGATCCCCGGCTTTTCCCTCCCTGATCCCCGGCTTTTCCCTCCCTGGACCCCGGCTTTTCCCTCCCTGAGCCCCGGCTTTCCCCTCCCTGGACCCCGGCTTTTCCCTCCCTGGACCTCGAATGGGTGACAGCCATTCCCTGGCCACCCAGCATGCCCGTCTGCCCTGAGCATCACATGCGGAGATGAACTGCTGTGCAAGGGGGTCCAGAGGGGTCCGTGGAGCTGTGGACTTGACAGGCCTTGTCTGTGCTGAGGACGGAGGACGGGGGGCCTCAGCCTCCGGCCCCCCAGGGCTCTCTCCTCAGGGACAGGCCCCTGTTCGCTGTGCTGCCCTCCACGCAGAGCAGCGTGACCCTCGGCCACAGCCTCCCTATCCACAGGGTCCCTGTGATGCGACGCTGACCTCTCCTTGATGCCCACCCCACCTCATGTCACACTGATCGGCCACGGGAGGCACCCTGAGGAAGCGCCTGGAAGGCTGGCGCCCACCGAGCCGGCCCCGCTGCCCCCTCGTGCAGCTCAGCATTCACCAGGCACACCTTCTGGAACACAATGGTGATGCCCTCCGGCCGGCCAGCACAAGCCACCACGATGCTCAAACAGCCAGATCTGGAGGAGACAGAGGTGGGGCTGCGAGTGGGGCTGTGCCCGGAGCTCCTGCCCGCAACCCCGGCCTCAGGGCTGGGAGGGCGGGAGCAGTCGTCTTATCTGACCGTCCATTGCTGGGTAAGTCCACTGAGTCCTGAGAGCCTGGGGAGTCGATAAGGACACGAGGGGAGGCCCCACTGTGGAAGGAATGTAACTTTATTTTTTTTTTTACATGGGTTACTTGTGCAAAGTTAAATTTAGAAGAATGATAAATGCACTCCCCTCCTCCCAGTTCCCGCCCCACCCTCCGCCCTCACTCCCCACCCACTGTCCTCATCCATAGGTGCACGATTTTTGTCCAGTTTCTTCCCGCATCTCCCATTCCCCTTTCCCCCCCAAGAATAGTCAGTCCATTCCCTTTCTATGTCCCTGATTCATTATAATCACCAGTTCATTCTGTACATCAGATTATTTATTCACTTGATTCTTAGATTCACTTGTTGATAGATGCATGTTTGTTGTTCACAATTTGTATCTTTACCTTTTTCTTCTTCCTCTTCTTAAAGGATACCTTTCAGCATTTCGTATAATACTGGTTTAGTGGTGATGAACTCCTTTAGCTTTTCCTTATCTGTGAAGCTCTTTATCTGACCTTCAATTCTGAATGATAGCTTTGCTGGATAAAGTATTCTTGGTTGTAGGTTCTTGGTATTCAGCACTTTGAATATTTTTTGCCATTCCCTTCTGGCCTGCCAAGTTTCTGTTGAGAAATCAGCTGACAGTCGTATGGGTATTCCCTTGTAGGTAATTGAGTCTCTTTCTCTTGCTGCTTTTAAGATTCTCTCTTTGTCTTTTGCTCTTGGCATTTTAATTATGATGTGTCTTGGTGTGGTCCTCTTTGGATTCCTTTTGTTTGGGGTTCTCTGCGCTTCTTGGACCTGTAAGTCCATTTCTTTCACCAGGTGGGGGAAGTTTTCTGCCATTATTTCTTCAAATAGGTTTTCAATATCTTGCTGTCTCTCATCTTCTGGCACCCCTATTATTCTGATGTTGGTACGCTTGAAGCTGTCCCAGAGGCTCCTTACACTATCTTCGTATTTTCGGATTCTTTTTTCATTTTGCTTTTCCGGTTGGGTGTTTTTTGCTTCTTCGCATTTCAAATCTTTGGCTTGATTCTTGCGCTCCTCTGGTCTGCTATTGGGTGTAATATTCTTTATTTCAGAGCGTGTATGCTTAATTTCTAGTTTCTTTATCATAGCATCGAGGGTCTCATTAGTTTTCGTGAGGCTCTCCAAAAGTTTATTGCAAGCCCTCAAAATTGCGTTTTTTAGCTCTATATCCTCCATTTCTGTCATGTTTTTTTGTCTCCGCATTTTTTATGCTTTCTTGGTGCACCCCCTAGTGGTCTTTGTGCGCAGTCTTGTTCTAGTTGAGCCTTGATTGTTGTAGTTAATACTAGAGGGATTTGACCACCAGGCCGACTGGCTGTGTGAATCAGCTGTGTCTGCCGCGGAAAACTTCTGTCCTCTGGGGAGGTGCTAATCTAGCCTTTGCCTGAGGCGATCTGGCAAATGGCTCTGCGCAGGGCTTGGGCGGGGCGGGCTCAACAGGGCGGGCGGGCGGAGGGAGCGGTTATGGCCCCTCTCAGTCCCGTTCCCAGAGGCTCTGCTTCTCAGAACCCCCGGAACCGCTGCAAACCTCGGAGGGAAAGCTGCCTTCCAACTGATGCCAGACACTCCCGCTTCTCCCGTTTGGGTCCGAGTCCCCAGCGATTCGCCCGTATCTGGAGCTCAGAGTCTGAGACTCCCCCCTGACCGAAAACGACAACCGCGCTCTCAGCCACCAGCCCGCTTTGCGCGCGCACCTCCGCACCTGAGTTTTTTCCACACTGCGCCTCCTCTGAGCCTCGGTGTGCTGTTATTTTTCCTTCTAGTTGAAGAGTCTCTCCTCAGCCAGCCCTCCTGTGGTTCTGGGTGATGTCCGTTCCGTCTTTTAGTTGTATTTTTGAAGTGGTTGTTTGCGGCAGCAGTCTGCGGTGTTTACCTATGCCGCCATCTTGGTCTCTCCTCAGGAATGTAACTTTAAATGTCTGCTCTGCCTCCTGTCAGTTGCGTGACTTAGGGAAGCTGTTTGCTTCTTCATGCCTCAGTTTCCTCGTCTGTAAAATGGGAATCATTACACCGGCTTCTAGGCTACTGTGAGATTTAGAGATAACGTAAGTCCGCTGTCCACATGACCACTCCACAAGGGCTGGCTTTTTCGTTATGTGACAGTGCTGCTGCCAGCACAGCGCCAGGAGCATAGTAGGTCCTCAATAAGTGCGCTTCCCTCCGGCGGGAGGCCTGGAGCTGAGGCCAGACTCCTGATCCTTAAGCTCATGTTCCTTTGCAAACACATTTTCTCTCTCTTCTTTTTTTACTTTAAATACTGTTTTATTTTTCAATTACAGTTGACATAGAATATTACATTAATTTCAGGTGCACAGCTCAGTGATTAAAAATACGGATTGCTTCCCAAATTTGCATGTCATCCGTGCTCAGGGGCCATGCTAGTCTCCATATGGCTCCAATTTTAGTACAAGTGCTGCCGAAGCGAGCACTCCGGACACATTTCTTTAACCAACACTTCTTTCCTCACAGTCTCGGAGAGCGGGGGGTGGGGAGCGGAAAGCTGCCTCCTCCCAGCTGAGCGTTGTGGGGTCCTGGCTCCCTGAAGCCCTACTAGGGACAGATCAGAGATGGCACGTCGCCCACCTCGCCTGGACCACCCAATGCAGCTCATTCTCCAGGCCACTGGGTCACACAGATGTCACCCTGACCCTGGCCCCCCAATATTAGCTGCTCGTGGGAGAGGTGCTCCATGTCACTCAGCCACTGCGCACCTCCAAGGAGAGAGGACGGCGGCTTAGGACAAGCTCACCCTCCGGGCCCGACCGTCTCTCCTGGCCTCCTGCGCTCCCCTCCTGGTGGAGAACCCAAGCCAGGCACCCCCCCCCGCCCCCACCAAGTTGCAAAAGATGAAGATGCAGATGAAGACCTAAGGGGGGGCCTCGCTCACAGATTCTGGGGCCCTTCACCCGGCGAGAGGCTCTGTTAGACATGAACAGCATCGCCTCAGAGACCCGCCCTGCGCCCTGGGCCCCGGGCCACTCTGCAGCAGCCGGAGGGACCGTGTGGAACTGCAGTCGGGTCGCAAAGCCTCCCGTGGTCCCTCCCACACGGATAAAACCCAGGCCTGGCGGC